TTTTGAACCAACCAAATGGAAATCTTTCTTGAACCACAGAAGCTAATGGATTCTCACAGAAACCACTAAAAAAAATGCCTTTTAGGTCCAACAGTGATGACAGGTTTCCTTCTCAACAGGATCAGATATAATACACAACTACACATGTATCGCCTCTCATTCATTTCCATGAAGCCTCAGTCATATTTGGTTCCATGTGTGTCGAAGGTGACCCACCCAGGGCTGTTGAAAATCAGTGGTCTGCAGGAGGGAGTTTACACCTTCCAGATGACGGTCACTGACATGGCTGGACAAAAGAGTTCAGACAACGTCTCCGTCACGGTCCTGCCCCCGAAACACCAGGCAGAAGGTGAGGTTAATGCACCTGTCCTCAAGCTAACGTGAAGTTAATTTTGGGCTATGGAAAAGTGTTCTCATGGCTTTTGCCTCTTTTTAGGTTCATGTTTATTTGATTATTTGTGTTCACAGTTTGCACTGGTCATTGTTCAAACTACCAGTTCAGGTGTGACGACGGCTGCTGTATCGACATCACCTACACCTGCGATGGGAAGCAGCACTGTCCTGATCGCTCTGATGAGGATTTCTGCCCAAACTGTGAGAAACACGAAGCGTTTACAGTCACGGGAGGAAAGGTGTTCGGGCTGAGATTGTTCTGATGTTTGATTTGCTCTGATCTCCTCAGTCGACAGCAGCAGGAAGTCAGTGAGCCATCCTACTCATATGATTGGTCCTCAGTGGTCTAGAGAGGAGACGCTGGATGGGTCAGTGTCAGTGTCCCAGAATGGGCTCAGGAAGACAATTGAGGACATTGTCCAACCTCAGGACCGAACCAAAACAGCTCCTCCTCAAAGCAACAGTGAGCAGAAAACTTCAGTCAGTCAAGGTGACACGGTTCAGTCCGTTCAAATGTGAAGGTATCGCTCTGGTAACACAGCAGGAGAAGTTAGCAGCAGCTTTCAAACTTCAACTTCTTCCACTGCTGTTCTTTATTCAGTAGCATTGTGCAGAGATGGATTAAGTCAGGCATAAAGCAGATGGAGCCGCCGTCGTCGACCACTGAACCACAG